AATAATCACATGATCTGTGGCTTTGGTCATTAAGATTTAGCTAAATATCAATCTTCTATGCTCCATCTCCATGTAAATATAAACCGTTTTCCAACAGCAAAAAAATTATTCCTTAGGCCCACTGGCATTTTAGATCATATATAATGATGTTGACAGTAAACCAAAGGATTAATTTGGTTTGATCAAAATTCTGTTTATCCGGGGCTTCCCTGGTGGCGCAGTGGTTGAGAGTCCGCCTACCAATGCAGGGGACACAGGTGCGTGCCCCGGTCCGGGAAGATCCCACATGCCGCGGAGCGGCTAGGCCCGTGAGCCATGGCCGCTGGGCCTGCGCGTCCGGAGCCTGTGCTCTGCAGCGGGAGAGGCCACAACAGTGAGAGACCCGCGTACGGCAAAAAAAAAAATTCTATTTATCCAAGCATTTCACTACAATACCCCAAATATTTTTACAAGTGGCTGAACTGATTGTAGATTATAGTCTCATGTTGGCAGAAAGAGAGAAGAAAAAGGTCTTTCAGAATTTTAAGACATTCTTCTCTCCCTGCCACCTCCTTCTTTACACCACCCAACCCAATCTTTGTTTACGCCAATTTTGACAATATTTGAATTATTGGAAGCCCAGGCTTAACTGCATAGTGGTCATAACAAAATGGGACAAACGTCTAAGAGGTTATCTTCTGCAAAGAACCATTAACTGGGGTTCAATTTATAATTTGAAAGCCCGAGGTCAACCTGGAATCCTGTAGAATGTAGTTGCTAAGTCCATTACTCAAGCTCACATTTTTGTAGGCTATAATGCTTCCAGTTCCAAAATTACAAAAACTAAAAAGTGTGGCAGACATCTTGCCTCTTCCTGAGTAAGCAACTCTGCGTTGCTCTAAAATTAAATTCTAATGGAAATGTGTAAGAAGTTTTTGGTTATAGGAGAAAATGAAAAATTATTGCAATCAACTAAGGAATTAGCCTACTTTCCCCAAAACCAAAAGAACAAGTATTGACCAAAAAGATCTCTGAGGGGCCTAGATAAAATGAGAATGTTTTGGTGATAATAGAAGTCATATTTTTTTAAAACTATAAATCTAAACTACTTTTTGTGAATGGTCAGTAGTTTCAGCTGAGCAAGGCTTACACTTGTGAGGCTCTTCAAAGGAATTTATGTTAATTTTTTTTTGTGGGCATAAAGAAAATGGTAGTGGTCCTTATGAATCCAGCTGGATCTGCAGTGAATTCCCAAAATGTTTTCTTTATTTCACTAATAAAGAATATACCATTCTTGTTTTTTAAAATGCTTTTTCTTTACTAATGATGTCATATGCTACAGATTTGTAAATTTGTGGTTTTCTCTAGAGATTTTTTTTAATATCCTACATCTGAAATGTAATTTAGAAAAGAAAATGTGAACAGAAGAAATGAAAACAAGGAAGAGAGAAAGAAATGAAGGATAGGAGGAGAAATAACCTATAGACAGTGCTTCACCTTGGAAACTTTGGCCAGTCACTGTAACCGGGTAGTAATAATGTGATATAGTTTCCCTGGACATAGAGTTTTGTTTGAAAACCCATTCTAGAACCTGTCTCAGAGGCCTCAGTGGGCTTCGTAAAAGAACACAAACTGATGCTCTTTGCATATATAGTGGTCCCTCAGTATCCTTGGGGGATTGGTTCCAGCCCCACCCCCACAGATACCAAATTTGTGGATGCTCAAGTCCCTTCTATAAAATAGTGCAGTATTTGCATTGTAGCCTACACACATCCTCCTGTACACTTTAAATCTTCTCTAGATTACTTACAATACTTAATACAACATAAATGCTATGTAAATAGTTGCCAGCGCCCGGCAAATTCAAGTTTTGCTTTTTGGATCTTTCTGGAATTTTTTTCAAATATTTTCGCTTCGCAGCTGGTTGAATTTGTGGATGTGGAACCCACAGATACAGAGGGCCAACTGTATATCAATGTTCTTAATTTAGGGTGGGGCTTTGTAAGAGTCCATTAGCAAGATTTTTATGAATAGGCTTCAGGGATCCATGAACTTTTGAAATGCATAGAAACATTTTTGTGACTGTCCTTATGAGCATTTATTTTTTTGGGAAAAGGATCATTAGCTTTCATCAGATTCACAAAAGTTTTCAAAGATTCTTGTCTCCAAAAAATAGGCTAAGAACCATTGCTTTAGGTCATTACTAATTATTTGATATTTTCTTTTCTCAGAAAAAAGGTAATATGTGTGATGGGTGTGTGTGTGTGTGTGTGTGTGTGTGTGTTGACAAAAAGGCTTAATGTTACCATATATCCATATATTGGCATGTTTAATTTACACAAAGCATATTTTTAGGCACGGCCTGATTCTCTACCACCTATAACTAAGAAAATAAAAAATGCTTTTGTTTTAGGCTATAAGGGTTTTTCATTGTCTATGGAACAAATTTCCATATATTATCACTAAAGGAAATGGGAGAGAATTTGGAGGCATAGATATATTGGATATATTCAGTTTATGAAAAAATAGATGATATTTTGATACTTTACTCCATCCAATTTTTAGCTCTGGAATATAGATCTGAATTAATGTAGTTCTTTTCATCATTTCAGTTAATTACAGCTTCATTCCAAATATAGGAAATCTGACCATCTAAATGCTTCTGTATTTCTAGAGGCTATAACAATTTGATTTATTGATAAATATAACTGACAGCTTATTGCTCTCAAATCTTCCTACGAAAATTGATCCTTTGCACCTGTGTTTCCTCTCAAAGAGAGGAGAGTTTTCCAGCCATCTTGCCTATTGTCTGGTAGACTCTGGATCACTGGAACATTCTAGAAGATCCATTCTATGACTCCTTCCTTCATGAGTGGGTCACAGTTGGTCTGTGAGTAGGAGTAAAGATCCACTGATAGAATCAGTGCTCAAGAATCAGGATTTGGCCAAGGCCTCTCTTAGAAGATCCTAGAAATAGTCTAAATGATATCATTTGGTATAAAACAGTAGGTATAGCATATTGTTCCTTGACAGGAAACAATATGAGAGCATGTGCTAAAGAAAAGCAAAGGGAAAAACTAAATAGCATAGTATTTTGGAAATACCTTATAAAATCACTTTAAACATTTAAGTTTATGTTAAACTTTAAACATAAAATACTTTATAAAATAACTTTCAATGTGCCTTGGAAAAGAGTCTCTTTTCCAAGGCACATTAGAACATAAATCCATAGAGGGGTGGGTATTTTTTATGTCAGAAAATCCTCCTCCAAAAGAAGTGTGCTGTATTAACATTTCAAGTTAGCCCTTAATCTTTAACGTGCCTTTCAACAGGAACTTACTTAATCCTCATAAACAATAGCAGTGGGAAAGTGTCTCCTTCATAGACACCCCAACAGAGCTTTAAAGTGGCCTTTTGTCTGAGTCATTAGAGCTTCTGGGTCAAAGGAGAACAGCATGACCTTTTACTTCCCTCTCCTTGGATTTGAAGGAGTAATTCTCAAAAACTCCCCATTCACAGAAAACTCTGATGGGGCTGCAGGTCCTCCCTCTCTCCCAGTTCCTTCTGGGGAACAAAAAAAAATCTTGGCTTCTTGCCTTAATCAACAATTGTTATTTTCTTACATTTTTTAAATGCAGATTTAAAACAGCACTCTTTTTTTGTGTAACTGGCATTTTGGACCATTCTTTACAGATGAAAATCAAACCATGAAAAACACTGACTTATAAGAGATAAGGCCCTAGGAGACTGATGTACTTATACTTTAGAAGTAAAACAGGTCACACAAGTCTCATAAAATCTCTTACTAATGGAGCAAGAAATCGAACACCAAACTGTTATTTCTCATAGGGAAGCAGTTTCTAGATAAAAGATGAAACTATAACAGAAGGGGGAAGAGGAAGGAAGAACTGAGGTGATTAAGGGCTTTTTTCAGTTCATATTTACAGAAGTGGTATAGAATCTTGACTCTATTTTTTAAGATAACTGCTTTGTGTACCTTATAAAACCCTTTCATTTTTATGGCACTGCCCAATTTCCTAACTATTCTGAGAAGATAGAGTGAGAAAATACAGTGTGGTACCAAATTGAGCAAAAAAACTTATTCAGTGCATGATGATACTTGAGATGTCACTTGAAAGCTAATTTAATTTCTTTCTCATCATGTCTCTCATGGACATTTGTTTTTAATACTTCTCTTTACTCTGTTAGGTTGAACATACATAAGTGTTGATGTTAGGGCAGTTTTTACTTGAAAACAGCAATGTCTATGGCTCAGCATAAATAGCTGAAATCCCTTAATTCAACTGAATTCAGAAAATGTTTGCCCATCGTGTGCTTCGCACCTTCCTCAGTAGTGAAGGACACCATAATGGCAGAGGGCAGATGCCATATCTCCTGAGTAATTTATTATAACTATTCTAGTGTTAAGAATCCATAATCAAGCTTATCACCTATGGTCAGAAATAGATAGACCCTTAATTTTGCCACTGGTTGATTCAACAAGTTAAAATATGCCCCCAGCTGATTTTGGTAGTCTTTAATAAAAAGAACCATTTAGGCATTTTCTTAGCACTGTGATGACTTGAGGGAGGTGGCATTTTTTTAACTTCCCATTTTTCATATAGGAAACTGACCCTTGGGTCCATATGAGACTTGCTTAAGATCACGTTTAGCTTCCAGTCTTTTGGCTGCTGGCCCAGCACTTCTTCTACTAACCAATTCCTTTCCCACCCTCCTCACTCTGCACCTCCCCTGTGAGGTATAGTCATCAGCTCTTTAAAACCCCAGTACCCTGGGAGTTGCGGGGAGAGGGCAGAGTCGAATGGACTCTCTAGTGGGAAAATTCTGCTAAAGGGTTTTCTGTACATTTTCGCTCCGTATGTTAGCCCTTCGTATGTTGTCACCTTCCCCCATGCTCAGTAATTTTATTTTGTGCTTTTTGTTTCTCTTTTTGTTTCTTTGGTTTGCTGGCTTTGTGTTCTTTTCTCTTTTTTTCCTTTTCTTTTCCTTTTTTAATGCAGGAATCGGTCAAGGCGTTCCAGTGGTGGCACTCATTGTGGAAGGAGGACCCAATGTGATCTCAATTGTCTTGGAATACCTTCGAGATACCCCTCCCGTGCCAGTTGTTGTCTGTGATGGGAGTGGACGGGCATCCGACATCCTGGCATTTGGGCATAAATATTCAGAAGAAGGCGGGTAGGTAATTTTCCAGGCCCCAGAGTTGACCTGGGAGTGCTAAGCTTGTGTTCCAAGCTTGGAAGAGAGGGTGTGAGTTGATTGATCATTTGGCATATGGGAGGGAGGTGGGGAAGAGCAGGGAAACATATTCTACATGTCCTGTGAAGTGGGCAATTCCATGACCGCTCTACTAGTCCACACTGCTGATACAGAGAACTAGGGGAATGGAGGGGTCATAGGATGTGGTCTCCTTTCTGTTCTCTTCATTTTCCTTCTCTCTTGTCCTCCTTCCACGGAGGAGAAACAGGAATTGGGTTTTAACCCATGAAGCACAGCTAACCTGGACTATACAGTACAGGTTAGTAACTCTAGAGAAGCTATAGGATGTGCAGCTTCCAGGCTTGACCTCCAAACACCACCTTCCCCAAGCTGCCATGTGTGTACAAATGCTAAATGTTTACAAAAGCATTTGGTGGCCTGTCCCATCAGATCCCTCTAGACTGTCTTGGAAAGTAGATTCTCTGTAATGGTAACCACTCTGTCCTGTGTAACCTGCTCTTGAGCCCCTCACGCACTTTCCTTGGTCTAGCAACCCCCTGATGCTGCTCTCAACAGTACAAAGTACCCAACCCCATGGAGTACTTCCTTTCATGGCCCTCCACCCCAAATCTGAGATCCCCCTCAGTGAATCCTGAAGTGCAGGCACTCCTGCAGATGATTAGATCAAAGTAATTCATCTGAAGGTGTGAATGACTTTAAGGAAGAAAACTCAAGGGAGCAATTGAAGTTTTAAATAAGGAACTTCGTAACCTAATCAGTTCTCCTAACACACGAAAGTAGTGGGAGAAAGAAACCCCGAAGGAGTTGGGGGTCTTTTATTCATTCCTTTCATAAATATACAGTAAGTGTCTACTGGGTGCCAAGCACTAAGATATGAAAAAGAGTAACAAGCTATTCCTACGCCAAAGAGTTCATAGCAAGTCTTGTAAGTAGACAAGCATATCATTATAATAATAGTAATAACAGGTGAGCTTGCCTACTCAGGCCACTCCCTCCTCCACCTCTCTCTCACCCAGCCTGACTTAAAATAGACTCAGCATGGCAGCTTAATACCCTCTCTGTCCCCAGTCCTCCTCTTGTCTTTGCCAGCAGCCCAGCACTCTGGGTGAGCCATTAAATCAGCACACTTCCCTGGTTAGTACATGAACTTAGACATGCGAAAGGAAGACGGTTGGAGACATAAGACTCTCAGCTTAACATTGCAAACATTGACCGTGACTTTAGGCCCTGTTAAAGCTTTTGATACTAAAAGAAAAAAAGCTAATTTTTGTACGCACCAAGTTGGAGTTTGCTTACTGGCAAATTCAGTGAAGTTACTGTTATCTTCTTCTTTAATAGTGAATATCAGTCACATTTGCCTATGTGTCCGCATGTCTGTTACCAAAAAGAGTTCGAGATCCTCAACTATGCTTTGCTTTTAGCCATAGTTCTCATTGATTTAAATATAGCAATTGGTTCTTTATTCAGAAATAGGTTAGAGAATGTACACTGTTTTTAGCTTTGCTGCTTCTTTTCTTTTTAGTGCTTGCAATTATTTTGCTGTATCCCTAAAAAGTAGATACAAGTTTGCACTCAGAATGCACATTTCGTTTTCAGAAACCTCAGCATTTCAGGTTTCCAGGTCTATATACAATGAAAGTCTGGACCTAGTGCTTGTTTTTTGTCATTCTCTAGGGTTGGGTACCTTGAAAAATATTAAAATCTCTGATAAGTTGCTTTTCCTGATTCTGTTTTAATAGAGGAGAAATGTTATACATTTTAGAGCTGGGTAAGACTCTAAATATTATTTAACCTAGGGGAGAGATGCACAGAGAAATTAAGTGCTTCCCCAAGGCCACACAGCCCATGATCCCAGGCCATTTCTGGCGTATTATAAAAATTCACTGCAATGTGTTTTGTGGTATGTGCCCTAGTGTTTCTCATATAGTACTTCAGTGATACTATCTTTTAAATATATAGGTGTACTTAAGCTGCCTTCAGTTTCCTCTTTCTGTTATAATTTAATTTTTTTATTATTCTGTATATTCAAAAAAAGGTAAAATCAATGCATTTCTGGTTGTAAACCAACATCCAAGCTGATCAACTCTACATCATGTAGATTCTTTTCTTTCTCACACCCAGACCATCATACTTCAACTCCAAAATTAAGAGTCAGAAATACCATATGCCCTTTCATGTGTGTAACTAGTGTGAAGATAGAGTTAAGACATAATTTTTTGTCTTTTGAATTATTAAAATTAAAACTTCAGTAATTTTCAGAAACATTTAGAAATGGTTATTAAGAATATAGAAGACTAAAAAGAGCATTATATTTGCCAGTCTAAGTATATATGTATATATTTTAAAGTTATGATTAAAATACGCTCTGCTTCAGGAAAGCAGTTATAAATTTAACATGATAAAATGCATTCAGAATGTTTCTGTGTGCCATCTGAATAACTGCCAGAATTAACCATGTTTATTTACCTTGGTAAGAAATTGTCCAGCCACACATGTGCAGCCAATTTTAAAAATCATTAGTGTGCTTTATTATATACTCCTGAAAAAAATGGCCCACCTGGACTTCATTCATCAGTAAGGATTTCTTCTTTGATTTTCAACAAAGTCCAACAGAGTTGAGACATGTTTCACTGCAAATAAATATAAACGCATAACTATATGTTCATATAAACAAATCTATATAAATAAATGTGTGTGATCGTACATATACTATTGAACATAGGAAACATACATACCCTGTTTATTAAACATGAATCAGGATTTGACTTATATTTCAGTTACTTTGGTAATTTAAATATGATTTTTTAAATTTTAAGTTCATTTATAGGTTGTTAAATAGTATAGACCCAAGCACTATAAATTTTTATATTCAGCTGTAAAGCTTCTCAATTTTATAATCCTAGAGGAGTGAATAGAATTTACACACTTTGTAGTTTAACTTTTTTTTTCCCGTCGCGAAGCACAAGCTCCGGACGTGCAGGCCCAGCAGCCATGGCCCATGGGCCCAGCCGCTCCATGGCATGTGGGATCCTCCCAGACTGGGGCAGGAACCCGCGTCCCCTGCATCGGCAGGCGGACTCCCAACCACTGTGCCACCAGGGAAGCCCTGTAGTTTAACTTTCGTGAACTTGATATTTTGACTTTAGATTCCCTATTATTAACTACCTTCCAAGAATATGAATTTGAAAGGGAATCGCTCTGGAAGCAAATTATCATTGGAAATACTAATTAACTTTTGTCGATGAGATTACGTGAGGCAGAAAAAGTCAGACTGTATCTCTCCCAATGCAAATGGGTTTGGATAGACTAGGAGACTGTATCTCTCCCAATGCAAATGGGTTTGGATAGACTAGGAGACAATTGCAATTAAATTCTTATTTTTATCTTTTCTCCCATCTCTGTTCTGTGGACTATACTACCAGAAAAAAATGGTCAAACTTTGTTTTTTTCCTTATTGACATATTGGATTTTCTATTTCTCATCTGTCATAGTTTAGAATGA